TGGGAAATGCAGGAATGTGATTAGTCCTGCATATGCATGTGCATTATGCAGGATTAACAGCATCAAAGGGAGCTGCAGTTACTGCTGCTGAAATTACTGCTGCTGCTGCAGTTTCTGCTGCTGCAGTTGCTGCTGCTGCTGCACTTGCTGCTGCTGCTGCACTTGCTGCTGCTGCTGCTGCACTTGCTGCTGCTGCACTTGCTGCTGCTGCTGCTGCTGCACTTGCTGCTGCTGCAGTTGCTGCCTTATCCATTTTAATATAACACTATGTATTATTCTACCCACCCTAATGTGTATCACACTGCTATATGTTTACTATACAATTACGACACCATACATTACTCTGCACACTGCACCATGCCAGTGAGTGGAACGCGGTCTGAAAGTCACCGTAAACGTGAACACAATCAGTTAAGATCCGAAATGGTTTATTACGTCCTTCCAATGATTGCTAAGCCAGAATCCATCTTCTCGGTTGAAATTGTCTCTGTGTTTGTATATGTGGATCGCCTCATGAACGAATCTCTCATGATAGCCAGATGGCTTGCAGAGAACCTCTGTCTTGGAGAAGTCAATGTCATGTGAGCCCACTGAATTGTAACAGTGATCTGCCACGGCTGAGGTGTTTGTCCTACCGTGTTTCAGGTCTGCCTTATGTTCACGGATGCGGTCCGAGACATGTCGTTTGGTTTCTCCAATGTAACTGCTACCACAGAGGCAACTTAGTTTGTAGACGCCAGGGTACTGTATGTCTGGAACCACATCTTTTACAGACGGGACCAGATCACGGATTGTATGTACTGTGTTGAATCGGACCTGGATCTTGTGTTTAATCAGGATTTTGGAGATCTTTTTTTGTGACCCCAGCAATGTAGGGTAAGGTGATGGTCTTGAAAGGCTCCTGAACAGGATCCTTCTTGATGGTTGGAGTGATGGCTTTGCGAATTGTGTAGTCGGAGTAACCATTAGCCTTAAGAGCTTGGCGTACGTGTTTGAGTTCACTGGACATGTGTTCATGGTCGGAGATGCATTGGGCTCTATGATATAGAGTCTTGATGAGGGAATTCTTCTGGGATGGATGGTGGTGGGAATCCGGTTTTAGATAAGCATCCGTGTGGGTGGCTTTCCTGTAGACAGTGGCTCATTGAACCATCAGGTCTCCTTTTGATTAGGACATCCAAAAAGGGTAGCTTGCCATCATTTTCGACTTCCATGGTGAATCTGATGGCTGGGTGTATGGAATTGATGTGGTCGAGAAATTGGTCTAGAGCAGGCCGGCCATGTGGCCAGATGACAAAAGTGTCGTCTACGTACCTCTTCCATAAGGTCGGGCGTAGAGTGGCAGTCTGGATGGCGTCCGTCTCAAATTTCTCCATGAAGATGTTGGCTACAACCGGAGATAGGGGGGAGCCCATTGGGGTGCCCTCAATTTGCTTGTAGAAGGTTCCATTCCAGGTGAAGTATGTATTGGTTAAGCAGTGTCTCACCAGGGGGGGTACCCCAGCATTCAGTCCTTGATGAACCAAGTCTTCAATGATTGCGATGGTGTCAGGCACAGGCACCTTGGTGAACAAGGAAACCACATCAAAACTGACAAGCAGGTCGTCTGGGGACAGGGCAATCCCCTTGATTGTCGATACCAGGTCAGTAGAATTTAGTACTGCAGAGGTGGTTTTTCCAGTGAAAGGCCGTAGGATTTCGGACAAAAAACGAGCCAGTTTGTAAGTGGGGGAGTTGATAGTAGAGACAATGGGACGAAGAGGTGTATCTTCTTTATGTATCTTTGGCAAGCCGTACAATCTTGGTGGCCTGGCTGCAGAAGGTTTCAACGAGAACTGTTTGGTCTGATCAATTAATGCGGTTGAAGCAGAAATGATGTTGTTGGTTTTGGAGACGAGGCTGTTGGTGGGGTCTCTTTTTATTTTTGTATAGCTGCCATCGTTGAGTAGTTCTTGAATTTTGTTGTTGTATTCTATTTTGTCCATGATGACAGTGGCATTGCCTTTGTCGGCTGAGAGGATGACAATGTCATCCCTCTTTTTTAATTGAGCTAATTCAAAACGCTCATCTTTGCTGATGTTGCTAGCTGGCATCTTAGCGTTTTTTAGGGTTACAGAGATTTCAGATCTTGCTACGTCTGCAGCGATGTGACTCAAGCCCTTGAGAGCTACATCTACTCGAGCAATTATATCATTAACTGGTATGTTAATGATATAATTGCTCGAGTAGATGTAGCTCTCAAGGGCTTGAGTCACATCGCTGCAGACGTAGCAAGATCTGAAATCTCTGTAACCCTAAAAAACGCTAAGATGCCAGCTAGCAACATCAGCAAAGATGAGCGTTTTGAATTAGCTCAATTAAAAAAGAGGGATGACATTGTCATCCTCTCAGCCGACAAAGGCAATGCCACTGTCATCATGGACAAAATAGAATACAACAACAAAATTCAAGAACTACTCAACGATGGCAGCTATACAAAAATAAAAAGAGACCCCACCAACAGCCTCGTCTCCAAAACCAACAACATCATTTCTGCTTCAACCGCATTAATTGATCAGACCAAACAGTTCTCGTTGAAACCTTCTGCAGCCAGGCCACCAAGATTGTACGGCTTGCCAAAGATACATAAAGAAGATACACCTCTTCGTCCCATTGTCTCTACTATCAACTCCCCCACTTACAAACTGGCTCGTTTTTTGTCCGAAATCCTACGGCCTTTCACTGGAAAAACCACCTCTGCAGTACTAAATTCTACTGACCTGGTATCGACAATCAAGGGGATTGCCCTGTCCCCAGACGACCTGCTTGTCAGTTTTGATGTGGTTTCCTTGTTCACCAAGGTGCCTGTGCCTGACACCATCGCAATCATTGAAGACTTGGTTCATCAAGGACTGAATGCTGGGGTACCCCCCCTGGTGAGACACTGCTTAACCAATACATACTTCACCTGGAATGGAACCTTCTACAAGCAAATTGAGGGCACCCCAATGGGCTCCCCCCTATCTCCGGTTGTAGCCAACATCTTCATGGAGAAATTTGAGACGGACGCCATCCAGACTGCCACTCTACGCCCGACCTTATGGAAGAGGTACGTAGACGACACTTTTGTCATCTGGCCACATGGCCGGCCTGCTCTAGACCAATTTCTCGACCACATCAATTCCATACACCCAGCCATCAGATTCACCATGGAAGTCGAAAATGATGGCAAGCTACCCTTTTTGGATGTCCTAATCAAAAGGAGACCTGATGGTTCAATGAGCCACTCTGTCTACAGGAAAGCCACCCACACGGATGCTTATCTAAAACCGGATTCCCACCACCATCCATCCCAGAAGAATTCCCTCATCAAGACTCTATATCATAGAGCCCAATGCATCTCCGACCATGAACACATGTCCAGTGAACTCAAACACGTACGCCAAGCTCTTAAGGCTAATGGTTACTCCGACTACACAATCCGCAAAGCCATCACTCCAACCATCAAGAAGGATCCTGTTCAGGAGCCTTTCAAGACCATCACCTTACTCTACATTGCTGGGGTCACAAAAAAAGATCTCCAAAATCCTGATTAAACACAAGATCCAGGTCCGATTCAACACAGTACATAAAATCCGTGATCTGGTCCCGTCTGTAAAAGATGTGGTTCCAGACATACAGTACCCTGGCGTCTACAAACTAAGTTGCCTCTGTGGTAGCAGTTACATTGGAGAAACCAAACGACATGTCTCGGACCGCATCCGTGAACATAAGGCAGACCTGAAACACGGTAGGACAAACACCTCAGCCGTGGCAGATCACTGTTACAATTCAGTGGGCTCACATGACATTGACTTCTCCAAGACAGAGGTTCTCTGCAAGCCATCTGGCTATCATGAGAGATTCGTTCATGAGGCGATCCACATATACAAACGCAGAGACAATTTCAACCGAGAAGATGGATTCTGGCTTAGCAATCATTGGAAGGACGTAATAAACCATTTCGGATCTTAACTGATTGTGTTCACGTTTACGGTGACTTTCAGACCGCGTTCCACTCACTGGCATGGTGCAGTGTGCAGAGTAATGTATGGTGTCGTAATTGTATAGTAAACATATAGCAGTGTGATACACATTAGGGTGGGTAGAATAATACATAGTGTTATATTAAAATGGATAAGGCAGCAACTGCAGCAGCAGCAAGTGCAGCAGCAGCAGCAGCAAGTGCAGCAGCAGCAGCAAGTGCAGCAGCAGCAGCAAGTGCAGCAGCAGCAGCAACTGCAGCAGCAGCAACTGCAGCAGCAGAAACTGCAGCAGCAGCAGTAATTTCAGCAGCAGCAGTAACTGCAGCTCCCTTTGATGCTGTTAATCCTGCATAATGCACATGCATATGCAGGACTAATCACATTCCTGCATTTCCCATAAATATGCTAAATTCCTTTTGATATGCAAATTCCTTTGTCAATGCGCCCAGCTTATATATATGCTCCAAGCTCGTGTGCTGTTTCATTCAGACTCTGTCGCCTCGACGGACCTGGTTTTCACCTGAGGACGGCTGCTTGCGTTGTGGCCGAAACGTCGTGAGAATTGTTTTATTATGTTTTATTTTTATTATTTTATTACTTCCCTTCTACGTGACTTTACCGAAAGAACCAAGAAGATGAATCCCTGCAGTCACGAAAGCTTTAAATCGAAATTTATTCAGATTTGTACATTGACGATTTGTTCAAAACGGTACATGACTACCGTTTTGCCAAGTTTCCTGGAGAATGGAATTAATTTAATCTTGCTCTAGCCTGGTTAAATAAAAAACCAGAGCCGGAACTTGACACTTTGTCGTACGGGCGAGAGGTGTCATCCTCGTGCCGATCCCTCCCCGCCTTCCTGCGGCACCGGCGCCGTCTCCGGCACTATCCCACCATAATTTGAGTTTGGCCACCCATTCGGGCGGTGCCCGCTCCACCCTCGCTGCAGCACTGCAGAGGAGGACACTGATTTGTTGATGCCTGTGGGGGTTGCAGGGCAGGCGTACAGACGGTGCGACGATGGTGGACAATGGTTGGTGGCGCCCAACCAAAACAAAACGTGGACCAACTACAATGAGTGCATGCAGATGGGCAGCCACGATGACAACTTGGAGGTGAGAGGACGCGCGCACATCCAGGGTGGCAGCGCAGTGGTCACACTCGCAGCAGGGCGATGCCAGGGTTTGATTCGCCACTGGGGAACCTTCCTGTGTGAGACAAAAATCCCCCGTGTAGCCTTAACAGACTGTTGGGGCAAGTGCTGTTAGCGAGCAGCTATGAAGGTTGGCACGGCATACGAGGGGGTGGGTGGCCAGCACCACGCCCGGACGCCTTTGTCTCCCTATGGTGATGTTTTACACACCGCACCAGATCCTCATTTAGGGCTGAGTAGACCTAGGGGAGGCACAGGACCGGGTTAAAGATATGCACCACTGTTATTGGTCGTGAGCGGAAATCGAACTTGGTTCGTCGGGTTCTTTGCTCAGCGCTAACCACTGCGCCACCACTTACACAGATACGCTAACACGTGTGTGTGTGTTGACACATACACAGATGCACGAACACGTGTGTGTGTCTGTTAACAAACACGATCAGACAAAAATGGACCTCAGGTGACGGGTGGGCAGGGAGATGCCGTCAAGGCCACATCGCAGGCTCGCCGCGAGAACGGCCGACGCTTTGAGAAGTGTTGCCAAGGCGCGTTGACGGTACGGTGGACGTGGATTTAAACAGTAATCGAGTTTTAGATCAGGCCACGTAATGATCTGACCAAATCTGTGCCATGATGAAACCTCCACCACACGATCAAAATTTCACGCATCTTGATAAATAAAGACCTTAATCTGTATTTCTCAAAAACCTCTAGGGTACTTCCCGACGAGGTTGGAAGCTGAAATTTGGTACATAAGTAGCTTTTAGGACACAAAAATAGGAGAAAAAATCCGAGATTTTTCAGTTGAAGGCCCCCAAATCTCGATTTTAAGTCCCGCATAGACATGTCTGTGCGTGTCATTCAGAAATCGTTCAAAATATAAGATTGCCTTTTTTGTCGTTTGATAGAGCGTTAAATAGCAAATACAATTTAAGTGAGAACCATTCTATCTTTTATTAGTTTTGAGATTTCTGATTCAAACAGTTTTGAAATAAAAAATGCGCATTTTTATTTGTTCAAATCGGAATCATTCGAAAACGGTAAAAGATAGGAGCTTCCCCTCATAGAGTATTAAGTTCATAAATGTTTGCTTTTTCTAATAAAAAAAGAACGGAGTTTTTTTTTGAGTGGTTTCCGTTGGGTACGTCTTAAAATATACGAAGTTTAATCAAGTCGTCAATTTTTGTTTTGTGGAAAATACACATTTTTGAAGTAATTGTAAGTGTCTGATCGTGGATAAAAAATTATGAAAAGTCATATCATGTTAATGATTATATTTATTGAAATCTTTTGCCTGGGGAAGACAGGCTTTATGAACTAGTATATCATAATTGGCTGCAAAAACCTACACGTGAAGTGTTTTATTGTTTTTGTTAGCCAGGCAGCAGCAGAATGTCTCAGACCACCGCTGGGCTTAGCGGACAGTGCGCCTTCCATAATGGTCTGTCGCCAATCTGCCTTGCACCACGCCTCCAGCTGCCTGTGCAGGCCTCCCTGCTCAACCCAGCAGGGAGGCCTCGGCCGGTTCGGAACTGTGCTGAGCAGGCGGCGAATCGTAGTGCTAAGTGAACGATGAGGACGATGAGGAGCGAGCCCTCGGGGCCCGTTGGGGTGCCACTCGGGGCCCGGTGGGGTGCCACTCGGGCAGCAGGTGGCCGTCACGAGGCACAACGCGGGTTTGGGGGCTGAGGTGCCACGTTTGACGGTCGCCGAAACATCATCATCGCGCGGTGCTTTCAGATGCGTGTTTCTGCAGCCGTCTGGAACGCTCTTGCTTCCGATACGAGGAAGCCATTGGAGCTGCGCACTTTTAAACCATCTAAATTGAAAACACATTTCTTTAGAACTGCTTTTTGTGTTTCGTTTGTTGTCCTTACCCCTCACCTCCGATTAGCACGGTTGGATACGTACGGTGCGAAAGACATTATACATACATACATACAAACATACGTTCGTTCAGGGTGTTAAGGTGTTCAGCCGCCCGTGGTTAAAGCTGGGATTCCATGTAGAGCGAAAGGTGATGGCTTATCATAGCTCATCGGATTCCTCCAGTCTAAATAAAGACTGATTCTGATAGCCTCAGATTGCAAACCAATATTTGCACACACACACAAACACACTCTTGTTACCACAAAGTTAACACCGTATGGCCTTAAAAGGAAGAGCATATTATACTAGGTGACGTTTCAGGCAATGGCCCTTCTTCGTTGTACATTCATTATTTAAATTATTTGTGTGCTATGAAGAAGAGCTATTGCCTGAAACGTCACCTGTTGTATATTTTTGTTCCTTTTGAGGCCACAGAGGTACAGTTTTTACTCGTGCTTGTGTACCACTGCCAACGCAGATATTTTGTTGAATATTCTTACACTTTGATGATAACTGAATTTGACTTTGATCATCAGAACATTTTTGTTTTATTGACATTATAAAAATTATGAATGCTAAGAAATGACTGCGTATTCTATGTGTGTGCATTTATATGCATGCATGCATGTGTGCTTGTGTGTGTGTCTTTGTGTCTTTATGTTTCCCTATGTTTATGGCTGTGAAGATGTGTGTGTATTTGCATTCATGTGTTTGTGCAATTGTGTATGACTTGTGTGCACATGTCTGCGCATGTGTGCTTGCATGTGCATTTGTATGGCTCTGCATGTGTGTGTGCAGCCACTTTAGTGATGAATATATGAACCATTCACGGGCCTCCCCTAGGTGAACTCAGCCAAAACGAGTACCTGATGCGGTGTGTAGACATCAGCACTGGGGAGACGAAGACTGCCGGGGCGTGTTGCTGACCACGCCACCCCCTCACATGCCGAGTGGGCCTGTGTGAGTGCTCGCCAGCAGCACTTTGTCCCAACAACCTGTGCAGGCTCTCGAGGACCTTTGTGTGTGTGCGAGCATAGGAGATCCACCGCCTGTACACGCTCTCCACCATCGGCTACTCCGTGTCCATGGCCTCGCTCTTCGTCGCACTCTCCATCCTCGCCTACCTCAAGTAGGTCTGCGTGGCCACACACGACATTCTACTGTTCATTAACTATCTTTTATTTTACCAGGTAAGGCCCACTGAGCTATGTAGCTCTGTTTCAGAAGTGACCTGGCCACAAATGACAGCCCAACGAAGTGACTTTATTACAGACAAATACTCTCAACGCGTGTTGTTGATTCTAAATATGGAAGGAAAAACCCCGAGGACTCGGAGAAAAAAACCACGTGACCACGGGGAGAAGTCTGAATATACAGGCGTCATGGTCGGGATCCAACCCATATGAGGTAGTTAACATCTCGCCACCGTGGCACCCACATTGACTTGGGCCTGCTGTAGGTTTACTCGGCCTCAACGCATCCCCAGTGCTATGTTTAAAACACCAATACTGGGCAGTGATGGCTTGTCATCCAGCATTGTGGAAGCGAGGGTTCGTGGATTGCCCAGATGTTGTGAAACTCCCTTCCCATGGGCGTGCCATAACCTGGCCCCTCAGGAGAGAGCAGTACAGCAAACATGTGGACTCTATTCCATCTGTACGGGGCAGAGCATTGCCCCCCTTGAATGGCATCTCAGAGTGCTCCGGTTTACTTCCGCATGTCAACGCTGACTCATTGGCTAGTAACACCTTCATATGCAGAAGACCAGTTCATCGCATGGTTGTTGCCTTCCCGCGTGTCTGTGGTTCCTCCTCGCGCCTCTGGGTTGTCCTCTTTCTCTGTTTGAGAGCGAGCGGATGCTGTGTGGCGGCGCACTGTTACGAGTTGTCACCTTTATCATAAGATAATGGTGACAAGATGTGTGTGGTGCCAGCCACACGACCGCAACGCCTTCCTGTGACGCGCAGGATGTGAAAGGCGCTCGCAAGCAGCACTCGATCCTGATTAGGCCAAACAGAGGGGTGCGATTTACAGGAGCTCAAGCAGTTGGGAATGTGCCCAAAGTCACTTTTCAGAAGCACAGATGATAGTCTCATCCAAATTGGACATTAATGCTCTCGTGGCATTCGTTGTTGACGAAGAGCAAAGGTGCCAACTCTCGTGTCTGGTGAAATGTCACCACAGCTCAATAGCGTCTGTGGCCAGGCCTAATTACCCTGACCCCGATAATCATCAACAATCAATGATTGTTTTCTCTTCGCTGTAACTGAGACGAGCGCAGCTCAGCGAGTCTTTCCAGTAAAGGCACTTTTAGCTGTAAGTTAAAGCATTCTAATTCCATTTCAACAAGACGCCCGAAACTCCGAGCAATCTCGCCATGCCGCCCTGACTGTGCGACTTGCGTGAAACGCGCACACACACACACGCGCGCACACACACGCGCGCACACACACACGCGCACACACGCGCACACAGGCACACACAGGCACACACACACACGCGCGCACACACACAGGCGCACACGCGCACACACACGCGCACACACAGGCACACACACAGGCACACACACACACAGGCACACACGCGCACACACAGGCACACACAGACACACACACGCGCGCACACACACGCGCGCACACACACGCGCACACACACACGCAGTCTGCGTCCTCATTCTCCCGCTATCGATGATAGCGGCTTGGGGTCTCAGTCACTTTGGCGCTGGCTACCAGCGCCGTTTGTTGGAAGCGGCGCGGTTTGCCGCGGGCTGTGATCGCGCGCCAAACAATCACACTTATTGTGTCGATCGAACCGTAAAGACCCCGAGGATTTGAGCTCTAAGGGGGTTCGGCCGCCTCCCTTCCCAAGCAGTTTGGCAATTGATTATTTATTTGTGGCCTTTTGTAGCCCTGCGAGTAACCGAGTTAGAATGCTAAATGGGGCCGGTTTAATAGACACTAATTAAAGGGCATTTGGTAAATTGGATAGAAGCTGAAGCTGAGGATTCTGGGGCTCGTGGGCAAGCGGAGCGGTGCGCTCGGGGCGACGGCTGCTGCCCGAGCCGAGCCAGTGACGGAAGCGAACGGGGGGGGTGGGGGGGGGAGGATTTTATTTGATTTGGAACCGAGGCCCCTTCCCCGCACGCTCGCGCAGCACGAACCCCTGGGGGGGGAGGGGGGGGAGCGACGCAGGAGCCGCTGATCCCACCGATATCCCCGTGAAGGTGCCGCGAACACCGGAATTGAGCGGCGGAGATGGTAAAGGAGAGGGCTCTCATTTGCGACAGGGAAGGGGACCCAATCTGTGTGAGAAGCACACAAGTCGCAAGCTAGCCCTACCCCTAACTCTCACCACCTAGGCCCCTGTGGCCCTTGGGCCCTGGTGCAGTTGTACCGTCTGTCACCTGGTAATTGCTCACGGAATGTTTTCTGGATCGCTGGCGGATTGCGGAACGTGGCGCGTGAGTTGTACTTGCGCGCGAGGTCCACCGGGTGCGGTGGCGCCGGGCGCGTCGAAATATTCTGGGTCGCCAGCCCAGCGGCTGGAAGTAAAGCCCTCCTCTCCCATCCTCTCCCCGCTGTGCCTCAGGAAGCTGCACTGCACACGCAACTACATCCACATGCACCTGTTCGTGTCCTTCATCCTGCGAGGGGCAAGCTTCTTCGTGTGCAACATCATGATCGAGGCGGCGATGCCCAGGGCGGGGGCTGTCGTGGGCTCCTGGGCCGAGGGCGGCGACGCCGACGCGATCCTGCTGGAGGAGCTACGGACCTTCACGGCCGTGCCGACGCTCGACAAGTCCCCCTACGTGAGTTCCCTCTCCGTCTGACCGCTGCCCCAGTGCGCCCCGCACTATGAATGTGTGTGTACGCGTGTTGAACTTCTTTCGCGCCGTATGTAGCAAGCCGTGCTCGTCGGCGGTGCGTGTGAATGCGTTCACCAGGATCAGTCAATCTCCAGGTCTCACGTGGTGGTGGTAAGGTGAGGGTACTCATACATCGTGTTAAAGATATCTAGCCAGGCCCCCCGCCGCCCCCCCTATTTAAATCTTCAACCCCCATGCGCGGGGTCCCCACTTGGCTGGGGCTGCGATCCCCCCTCCCACTACGGACGGTCCCGTCGCGCCCAGCTGGAATTCTAGCGGGGCTCCCGCTTTGTTGCAATAAAAACTTAAAAACTTAGAGAAGGCAGGTGTGGCCAGGGTGGAGGAGTTGAGCTCAAATACCCACGGTAGGGGGATGAAGAGCGCTACCCCGAGTGGAGGTCCTTTAGCCAGCACTGCACCTCTACCTTGCCACAGCAACGCCCTTGGGGCCGATACAATGAGTACCGCTTTGTGGGTTGTCAACAGCACTTGTCCTGCGGAGGAACTGGCGTCTGCCATGGGCACGTGGAATTTCTACCCTTAGGCACTTGAACATTTTGCTTGATATGACAGTTAAGCAAATAATTGAATCAGGTGAAAGCTCATTAATAAATTATATGATTGATATCAATAGATTCCATGTTTAAATTATTAAAATTGTTATATATGTATGGGGTACTTACTACACCAGTCATGTGGACCTACACACACTAACTAGCGTGGTGAAGTATGGTCAAACAACCCTCCTCCAGGCTGACGTGGCGTAGCCACGAAGTGTGACGAGGCAGTATCCCGAGAGTTACTTGCTCGCTATTTATAACCGTGAGCACACCGCTACGTTGCATGTAATGCGTTGTCTCGTTGGGCTGTCACTCCGTGCCGAGGGCTTCCACTCTCTGCTTCATATTCCACTGCGCTGCAGCGCGCGCAGCGCCGAGCGCGAGGTCATTTATCTTGGCGCGCCTCATCAACCTGGAGCGTCCCTGCACCCCCCCGTCCCCCGCAGGGGTCCTGACCCCCACGCCGCTACCGGTACTCGTCTTGCTGCTGCGGCTGGGGCTGCTGCTGCTGCTTCTGCTGCTGTGTATGATGCTTCTTCTATTGCTGCTGCTGCCCCAAGTCCTCCACCCCCACACTGCCCACCCCTCCCACCGCCCGCCACGTCCCGTCCCATGGACACGGCGTGGTGCCGTCAGCAGCAACAGCAGCGGTAGTCGCAACAGCAGCAGCAGCGGCGGCAGCAGTCGCTGCTGTAGTCGCAGCGGCGGCGGCAGCAGTCGCTGCAGCAGTTGCTGCAGCAGTCGCTGCTGCAGTCGCTGCTGCGCGCACAGCTGCTGCTGCTGCTGCTGCCGTGGTCCGCGCCGCGGGGGTCGTCGTCTGCGCTCGCCCGCGGCGCGCTGTGAGAGCGGTGGGGTCCAGGATGGAGGCGAGGGGGTCCAGGTGGAGGCGAGGGGGTCCAGGTGGAGGCGAGGGGGTCCAGGTGGAGGCGAGGGGGCCCAGGGTGGAGGCGGTGTCGCATCACTCGGCCGGTCGCTCCCACCCGGCACAGCCCCTCCCCCCTCTCACCCCGCGATCACCGCGACCCGAGCCAGTGGGTCGGGGTCACGGGTGGCCGCCAATTCGCACTCACCACGAACCTCACACTCCTCACCACCTCACACTGCACACACTACACACTCCTCACCACCTCACACACCTCACCACCTCACACTGCACACACTTCACACACCTCACACACCTCACACTTCACACACCTCACACACCTCACCACCTCACCACCTCACCACCTCACCACCTCACACAACTCACACTTCACACACCTCACACACCTCACACTTCACACACCTCACACTCCTCACCACCTCACACACCTCACACACCTCACACACCTCACCACCTCACCACCTCACCACCTCACACACCTCACACTTCACACACCTCACACACCTCACACTTCACACACCTCACACTCCTCACCACCTCACACACCTCACACACCTCACTACCTCACCACCTCACCACCTCACCACCTCACACACCTCACACTTCACACACCTCACACACCTCACACTTCACACACCTCACACTCCTCACCACCTCACACACCTCACACACCTCACACTTCACACACCTCACCACCTCACACACCTCACACACCTCACCACCTCACCACCTCACACACCTCACACACCTCACACACCTCACACACCTCACCACCTCACCACCTCACACACCTCACACTTCACACACCTCACACACCTCACACTTCACACACCTCACACACCTCACCACCTCACCACCTCACACACCTCACACTTCACACACCTCACACACCTCACACTTCACACACCTCACCACCTCACCACCTCACACTTCACACACCTCACACTTCACACACCTCACACTTCATACACCTCACACACCTCACACACCTCACCACCTCACACTTCACACACCTCACACACCTCACACACCTCACACACCTCACACACCTCACCACCTCACACACCTCACACTTCACACACCTCACACACCTCACACTTCACACACCTCACACACCTTACCACCTCACCACCTCACACTTCATACACCTCACACACCTCACACACCTCACCACCTCACACTTCATACACCTCACACACCTCACACACCTCACACACCTCACACACCTCACACTTCACACACCTCACACACCTCACACTTCACACACATCACACACCTCACCACCTCACACTTTATACACCTCACACACCTCACACACCTCACCACCTCACCACCTCACCACCTCACACTTCACACACCTCACACTTCACACACCTCACACTTCACACACCTCACACACCTCACCACCTCACCACCTCACACTTCACACACCTCACACTTCACACACCTCACACACCTCACCACCTCACCACCTCACACTTCATACACCTCACACACCTCACACACCTCACCACCTCACACTTCATACACCTCACACACCTCACACACCTCACCACCTCACCACCTCACACACCTCACACTTCACACACCTCACACACCTCACACTTCACACACCTCACACACCTCACCACCTCACACTTCATACACCTCACACACCTCACACACCTCACCACCTCACCACCTCACCACCTAACCACCTCACACTTCACACACCTCACACTTCACACACCTCACACTTCACACACCTCACACACCTCACCACCTCACCACCTCACACACCTCACACTTCACACACCTCACACACCTCACACTTCACACACCTCACACACCTCACCACCTCACCACCTCACACTTCATACACCTCACACACCTCACACACCTCACCACCTCACACTTCATACACCTCACACACCTCACACACCTCACCACCTCACACTTCATACACCTCACACACCTCACACACCTCACCACCTCACCACCTCACACACCTCACACTTCACACACCTCACACACCTCACACTTCACACACCTCACACACCTCACCACCTCACCACCTCACACTTCATACACCTCACACACCTCACACACCTCACCACCTCACCACCTCACCACCTCACACTTCACACACCTCACACTTCACACACCTCACACTTCACACACCTCACACACCTCACCACCTCACCACCTCACACACCTCACACTTCACACACCTCACACACCTCACACTTCACACACCTCACACACCTCACCACCTCACCACCTCACACTTCATACACCTCACACACCTCACACACCTCACCACCTCACACTTCATACACCTCACACACCTCACACACCTCACACACCTCACACACCTCACCACTTCACCACCTCACACACCTCACACTTCACACACCTCACACACCTCACACTTCACACACATCACACACCTCACCACCTCACCACCTCACACTTCATACACCTCACACACCTCACACACCTCACCACCTCACCACCTCACACTTCACACACCTCACACTTCACACACCTCACACTTCACACACCTCACACACCTCACCACCTCACCACCTCACCACCTCACACTTCACACACCTCACACTTCACACACCTCACACTTCACACACCTCACACACCTCACCACCTCACCACCTCACACTTCATACACCTCACACACCTCACACACCTCACCACCTCACACTTCATACACCTCACACACCTCACCACCTCACCACCTCACCACCTCACACTTCACACACCTCACACACCTCACCACCTCACCACCTCACACTTCATACACCTCACACACCTCACACACCTCACCACCTCACCACCTCACCACCTCACCCTTCACACACCTCACACTTCACACACCTCACACTTCACACACCTCACACACCTCACCACCTCACCACCTCACACACCTCACACTTCACACACCTCACACACCTCACACTTCACACACCTCACACACCTCACCACCTCACCACCTCACACTTCATACACCTCACACACCTCACACACCTCACCACCTCACACTTCATACACCTCACACACCTCACACACCTCACACACCTCACACACCTCACCACTTCACCACCTCACACACCTCACACTTCACACACCTCACACACCTCACACTTCACACACATCACACACCTCACCACCTCACCACCTCACACTTCATACACCTCACACACCTCACACACCTCACCACCTCACCACCTCACCACCTCACACTTCACACACCTCACACTTCACACACCTCACACTTCACACACCTCACACACCTCACCACCTCACCACCTCACCACCTCACACTTCACACACCTCACACTTCACACACCTCACACTTCACACACCTCACACACCTCACCACCTCACCACCTCACACTTCATACACCTCACACACCTCACACACCTCACCACCTCACACTTCATACACCTCACACACCTCACCACCTCACCACCTCACCACCTCATACACCTCACACTTCTCACCACCTCACACACCTCACACTTCACACACTTCACACACCTCACCACCACGCACCTCACACACCTCACACACCTCACCACCTCACACACCTCACCACCTCACACACCTCACCACCGCGCGCCATCCCTGCAGTGTGAAGCTTATTCAAAGTGGGGGGGGGGGCGGGGGATCGTACAAAAACTCACGTGGGCATGGTAGTTGATGTAGAACACAGACACATTTAGACTACAAGAATTTAGAAGGGGGCTGGAGCCTTCACTACGCACACGACACCCCGCTACACACACACCACTACACACACCACTACACACACACCACTACACACACACACACCACTACACATACCTACACACACCACCCACTACACACACACACCACTACACACACACCACTACACACACCACTACACACACCACTACACACACACACCACTACACACACCACTACACACACACCACTACACACACACGCCACTACACACACCACTACACATACACACACACCACTACACACACACCACTACACACACACCACTACACATACCTACACACACCACTACACACACACACACCACTACACACACACCCCGCTACACACACATACCACTCACTACACACACCACTACACACACACACACCACTACACACACCACTACACACACCGCTACACACACACCACTACACACACACACCACTCACGACACACACCACCCACTATACACACCACTACACACACACCACTACACACACATACCACTCACGACACACACACACACCACTACACACACACCACTACACACACACCACCCACTATACACACACCCCGCTACACACACATACCACTCACTATACACACCACTACACATACCTACACACACATACCACCCACTACACACACACACCACTACACACACACCACTACACACACCCCACTACACACACACACACCACTACACACATCACTACGCACACGACACCCGCTACACACACACACCACTCACGACACACACCACCCACTATACACACCACCCACTACACACACATACCACTACACACACCACCCACTATACACACACACCACTACACACACACCACTACACACACCACTACACACACACCACTACACACACCCCGCTACACACACATACCACTCACGACACACACCACTACACACACACCACTACACACACACCACTACACACACACCACTACACACACACCACTACACACACATCTACACCCACTACACACAGACACCACCCGCTACACACACATACCACTCACGACACACACCACCCACTATACACACACACCACTACACACACACCACTACACACACACACCACCCACTACACACACCACTCACTACACACACCACTCACTACACACACACCACTACAAACACCCCGCTACACACACATACCACTCACGACACACACCACCCACTACACACACCACTCACTACACACACACCACTACAAACACCCCGCTACACACACACACCACTCACGACACACACCACCCACTATACACACACACCGCTACACACACACATACCACTCACGACACACACCACCCACTATACACACCACTCACTACACACATCACTACGCATACGACACCCCGCTACACACACATACCACTCACGACACACACCACCCACTATACACACCACTCACTACACACATCACTACGCACACGACACCCCGCTACACACACATACCACTCACGACACACACCACCCACTACACACACCACTCACTACACACATCACTACGCACACGACACCCCGCTACACACACATACCACTCACGACACACACCACCCACTACACACACACACCACTACACACACACACCACTACACACACATACCACTCACGACACACACCACCCACTATACACACACACCACTACACACACATACCACTCACGACACACACCACCCACTATACACACACACCACTACACACACACCACTACACATACCTACACACACACACCACCCACTACACACACACCACTACACACACACCACTACACATACCTACACACACACACCACCCACTACACACACCACTCACTACACACATCACTACACACACACCACTACACACACATCTACACCCACTACACACACACACCACCCACTACATACACACACACGGCCACGCCTCTGCACGGCAGTCGTAATTCTCGGGTAAGTTCATCGCTAATTGCCTGACTGTAGGTGCGCTATTAAAAGCCCAAGATGTATTGTTTGAAACGAGCCCGGGCTTTAATTGGAGGTTCTAACGAGGCGGGCGAACTCGCAAGTGACGGCACCCAGACCAGCAGGCGCGGGCCGGCTGGAGCTCCTCCGGCGGCCCGGCTCCGCCGCTCGGAGCGACGCCCTCCGCGTTGTCCTCGCTTATCGCTCGCGCACCGCAGCCGAGGGACCGCTTCACACGTTCCTCGACACGACGAGCCCCAATGATGCGGTGCTCCGCGTGCATTTGTCATCTCGCTGACGGCCGGCCGGCCTCCTCCGAGATGCTTCTCGCGTCTCGGAGGCGCCTGCCCCTCTGCTCGCTGCATCGTTTGACCCTGAAAACGAAGGCCGCGTAGATCGTCGTGCGTGCGTGTGTGCGTACGACGTAATCGGCGTTGACCGCGTGGATGATTACGGTCGCGAGAGGTGGGCAGTGGCTTCAGGGAAGGCCTTCATCCAGCAGTGGATTGACCGCCGCCGATGATGACACTCGTCCCGTCAGAGCTCTGCACAAAGGACATTGCCCGCAGCGAATCTCCCGAGGGCGACGTCTGGACTGACTGCGTGCTCTCTCCGCAGCTGGGCTGTAAGTTGTCCGTCATCTTCTTCCTCTACTTCCTGGCCACCAACTACTACTGGGTGTTCGCCGAGGGCCTCTACCTGCACAGCCTGGTCTTCATGAGCTTCTTCTCCAACCGCACCAAACACCTGTGGACCTACATCTTCATCGGCTGGGGTGAGAGGCCAGGGGATACTGCGATGAACACTTTCGAAAAGTGAAAAGGGCCCAATTCAAACGGGCGGGGGTGGAGGGTTGGGAAGCTGCAGACCGAGTGGGCAAAAGAGTGGAGTGACCTCCGACAGAGGTTGGACTGGAGGTCTTAGAGTCTTTGGTTGAAGCTGTAAATTTCCACGTGATAAGCCATTTCATTAGGCTATCAGTTGTGGCCAGGTCGTTTCTGAAAAAGAGCGACATAGTTCAGTCTGGCCTTACCTGGGTAGCAGAGAGTGCGTGGAGGAGAGTATATTGAGAGTAGAAGAGGGAGGAGAGGCCGTGGAGAAACTTGAATTTGGCGAGCGTAATCTTCCAGTTGCTCTTCAATTTAATCGGAGGTCATTTGCTAAATGTAAACTCGCAACCCGAGTCCCTACGGTAACCCAGAATTCCACTGCGCGCACTCCACGGTGCAGGCACTGCAGAGCAGGCAGGGACACAGCCGGCGGTGGCTGCAGCAGTAGCTGCTACTGCTGCTGATGCTGCCACCACCACCGCCGCCGCCACCGCCTCCGCCGCATGCACAAAGACAGCGTCGTGGCTTCTTCTCGCAGAGCGAGCCAGCCGGGGCCCGGCCACAAAGAGAGGGGGGCGGGGGAGGTTATCTGGGAGGCACCGCGTTCCCCCAGAGAGAACCTCGTACATACGTGGCACGCGACGAGATACGGCCCCTGCAATTGTCCGCCCCAATCCATGTATCTGTGCCTGACTGTGTTGTTGATTTTGTTTATTTCGGCCGCTCGATGTCGTTGCTGGTTTGTTGCGCAATGGTGGCGTTTGGCGCCCAGGGTTCCCGACGCTGTTCGTCGGCGCCTGGGCCGTCGTGCGTGCCGTGCTCGCCGACACCAGGTGAGGAGCGGTCGTCCCTCGGCTCCCCCTCGCTCACCCATCTCCGTCGTGCTCACGCCAGCACCACACACAGTGCGACTAGCCAGTGATGGATATTCCACATTACTGTGGCTGGGCCTGTCGTGAGAACAGCCAATGCTCATTTGGAGCAGTACTCACTTCATTACCCTAAAAGGATAACGATTGATGACAATCATGATGATGATGATGACGATAACGATAATAATGATGAAGTGAATGTTGAATGATGACAACGATGGCGATTCTGAGTCACTAACTCCACAAAATTTACAGAAAGTAATTTTTATATATAAAATAAAAAGCACATCCACAAATAATGTAAAATACAATGTCATCTGAAAATACTCTGCACCGAGCTTGCACAATCGCCTGCTAATTGACGTTTGAATGAAAACCCAAAAATAGGAAGAACGCAAACCAAACAAGCCCCAATTTCCCACGGGACCAGCGACTCCTGATTGCCCAGGTTGTTATCACAGCCGTGTGTCTGGAAGGTCGTCGCCATTAATTCCAACAACAAAGCCAAATATGTTTGTGTACGAGCAACGAGCAACCGGCCGAGGGTCGTGTACCCCTTGGGTTTCACTCGGTGGTTCTCAAACTTTTCGGTGCAGTGCCCCCTCACCCCACCCCCCAGGCTACTCACGCCAGGATACACAGAGAATGTGTCCACGCCCCTAGTCAACGCGCCTTTAGCAAGGCGTTCGCTTCACGTGACGATGCCGATTCCTACGCACATTCACCATTTCTCCTGCACGGTATCCATACCACAGTCTTCGTCTGCTTCTGCTGTCCGGCCTCTCGGTCTCCGGCAGTAAATGCCAGTCGATGAAGTCGTGGGGCTGGCAAGTGCCAGGGAATGGCAGTGCAGCAATGGGTTTGGTCCACAGAGTTTGGTCCACTCACTGGATAGAGTCACACATGTGCTGATTTTCTCCGGCTTCTCCAGTTTCCTCTGACATGCAAAACATTTGTCATATTGGCCAAACATCCCAATGCAGGACCCTCGTTAAAAGGAGTCTGAAGACTTTGACTTTATTGTGTGCTCGGGTAGAGTTTTGCCATGCCTTGCGCTATGGACCCTGCGACTTGAGTTTGATTCTTGGACATGGCTAACCTCAGTTGCGAGTGATTTTCTGAACCATTACCAACTTGCACTGCCCAGTCTGGTAAAGTAGGGTAAAAAAAAAACTCATTTCCTCACACGACATGGGGAGGCGTTTATCCAGCATTGGTGGGTCTGAAATTGTGATATTATTGTGCGTGATGTGAATTCATTCCCAGATGCTGGAACATCAACGCCGGCAACATTAAGTGGATCTACCAGGCACCCATGATCATTGCAAACACAGTAAGTGGCGCTCCAGAACAAACGGCAGTCACAGACAACGCCACAGTGCCAAGGCCGGCATCTCTGTGCTCAGACAAGGAGAGGTTCGCGGTTCCTGTGTCCAATCACAGCCATCGGGCTGTGGTATAAATTCGACACTGCTATGGCAGCATACGTTCCAAACCCACCACCGATTTAAGCGGGAGGCTGTCAATATTTAAATCCTTTGACCACATGCCGAATTTTTTTTATTGCATGAAGGAATGTTTTAAATGTAAATATAACGCGATATGAATAGCTTTGTAATGACATCAGTACGTGCTAAAATTGTTTAAATTTCGGCAGCATACAATTTAAATCGGTCAGGTTGGAAATTGTGCATTTAGCTTCCACTGATAACCGGCGTCGCCACTGCCCTCGGACCAATGAACCCCTCGTCAGCACGAGTCGGGCATCATCGCACCGTGGGATGTTGTTGGGTCATCTCCCCTCCACCGCCCCCCCTTGCACCTCCTCCCCTTCCACCATCACCATCCAGACCTCGCTGGGAGTTCCCGCCTAAGAGGCGCGATCGGCGCCGCTGTCGCCCGCAGGTGAATTTCGCTTTCTTTGTCAACATCGTTCGTGTCCTGGCGACGAAACTACGGGAGACGAACGCCGGCCGCTACGATGCTCGTCGGCAGTACACGTGAGTTGGCACAGTCAGAGCTGCAGGGTGGGTAGGGTGGAACCGAAGATGACGGAGAAAGTGATTGGTTCATTCCTAATTACGATCGTTCACGACACGGAGCACCTTCGTGGGGCGTGAGAATAAGAAACACCCCGCACGCTCCGGGGTGCCCAGTCGCAACGGCAGCGTCTACGTGACTCGGCCCTATTACTCACAGGCTGTCTGAATAATGAACTCCGTGCAGTGGAAAGAGAGTCGGACTTATGCATATAAATGCGTGATGTTTATTAATAATTGTGCGTCGATCAATCAACGTGCAAATATTCATCAGGGGGAAAACATACGCCAAAAAACACGAGCTACAAATTACGTTGCTGGTTGTCATTGTTCTTCATCTGTAACAAAGGCCTCCCCCCATTTCATTCCTTACTTTCCTGAGTCGCTCCTGCCCACTCGTAACCTCCGAAATCTGCGATGTCATCTCGCTGCTGTTGCCTCTTCCGCCGTCTCCCTCTGCTTCTCTTTGCTTCTCTATTCCGCCTCCACCGCGTGGTTAAATTTGTCTCTCGTCGGTCGTTTTCATGACACCTCTGTTCACCGCAAAACACTCAATTGACCGGCTTCTCAGATGAAAAAGGAACAACCCAACGCCCTGATGCAGTAGTCGCGACGCTCACGATGCCGGCGCTAAACGGAAGCTCCGCCTCGGGAGCGCAGAGCGGCACTGACCGACGGCCGTCTGCACTCGCAGGAAACTGGCCAAGTCGTCGCTCGTGCTGACGCTGCTGTTCGGAGCGCACTACATGGTGTTTGCCGGCATGTCGGAATCCGTGGACGGGTGGCTCTGGAAGGCGCGCATGTACTTCGATATGTTCTTCAACTCGCTCCAGGTTCCCTGTGATACCAGCTCATTTGCTCATTCGCTCGCTCACTCGATTACTCAATAATTTGTTCACTTGCTCACTAACTTACCCGCTTACCTGATTGCTTGTTCACTCACTCACTCCCTCGATTACCCGATCCTTCGTTCCTATGGTCACTCACTGCCTTGCTCGCTCACTCAATTACCCAATCGCTCGTTCCCTTGCTCACTCACTCGTTTACCTGTTCACTCATTGCCTCGCTCGCTCACTCAATTACCCGATTGCCTGCTCGCTCACTGCCCTGTCCGTGGCCATGTCACCCCCGTTTCCGGACTGCGTGACATGTCGCTCAACCTCCTGCCGTCATTGTCTCCCCGCAGGGCTTATTCGTGGCCATCATCTACTGCTTCTGCAATGGGGAGGTGAGTTGCGAGCATGCGATCCGTTCTCGCGGAAGCGTCGCTTTGCGCGACGCCAATCCGGAAACGATTTCGTTTCGTGGCTCAACGCGACGCGGGGGCCGTCGACCGAGCGGCCTCGGAACGCGCTCGCCCGCGGCGGCAGCGACGGCCGCGTCTGGATCTTTCGTGGGGGCGAGAATTAAGCGGCACTGAGGGCGGGCAACGACGGGATACACAGGGCGCCCCCCATACGGGGGACCGACCAACGAGGAACGGTGATTATACAGAGCGCTCTCCGCTCGCTCTGCCACGGCAATGGGCCCGGGGCGATCGCCTCTTAACCCCTCATTTCACGCTGCCGACTCTAAGCCGGCCGCTCGCCGTCGTTGCGGCGAGCGTGCGAGCCGGAGATAAGTAATGATTGCTATTCTTTCCCTGCGCTTGAGGTTTATCCAGACAAAAACAATCGTCCTCCATACGAGGCTTTCTCGGCCGTTATGAATTGCCAATTAGGATTGGCAAAAATAGTGCTGCAATGCGTCCCGCAAGGGCGAGCAGCCAACACGGTGGGGGAGCACCTGGGCGTCTCCCGTGCCACCCGCACGTGGGCACACACTCGAGGCGTCCGTCCTTGGGTGCGGTAGGGGGAGTGGGGGCGGGAGCGCATTGCCCTCTGACCGGTGCCGCTGGATATTTTGAACGTCGCACGCCTCATTACGCATAGAAAATAACGAGATAGTAGAGCCGGGTTTAATTTGAAATGCGCCGACTGCCCTCGACTTGAACTTTTAATGTCTCCCTCGAGACGAGCACCGCATAAATAACGAGGCACAAAGAAGTTTATCGTTGCACTCGCTGGGCATCCACGAACAGCGCGCCGGGTGCCAGATCGGCGTGGACTCTCCATTGGACTCTATATTGCTCTCCACAATGTTGGTTTCAACGAAATATACAATTGATCGCAACACCATTAAGTGAGTTTAGAAATGTACATTGGGAAGGGAAAACTTTGGGCTGGGTGACGGCGCAGTGTGCCGTGAGTAATGAGTGGTCATGGGAGATGGATTAACAACGTTCCCTTTCCACAGTGTTTTAACACAACGATTGGAACAGTGGAAATCTAACTACTTAATTCAAATAATTTGTGATGTTTAACGATTGCTGTAATGTAAGTGGCAGGCTGATAATATTGCGGTGTTCATATCTCTGCTCATCTGTCAGTGACATTTTGTATTCATCCTTGCATGTCGCGTGGTAACGAGTAGCTGAACTGGTGTCGTAGCGGGCAGCTGAGCTGCAATAATTCACAGCCCCTTGTTAATCCACGACTGTATGAAGGCTTCTACATGCAATGCCAAACGCGTGAGGTTTTTTTCACCATAATCCACCACTGGTTTGTGAAAGGGTTCAACTAGAACCGGTCCAGATATCACTCGCCACTGACATGAGCCGTGGCTGGGAATTGAAGTCAGGTAAGCAGGTCCATAGCATCATGTATCTGTGTTGAACTTATTTCACGCCGTACGTAGCCAACCGCGCTAATCGGAGGTGTGCTGATCACGTGCTAGCCACTGCGCAACCTATCCCTCCCACTATGACATATTACTTGTAGCATTTTACCCCCTCCGGTCGAGTGATGCATTGGCTGGATAAGAGTGCACTGCCTCACCATCACAAGGTTCCCACTTCAAATCCCAGTTGGGGCCCGTACGCCCCTCGTCCCTCTGGGAATGGTTAAACGACTACCACTCTGGGGGTCAACAGCAGTTGTCCTGGGGACTATCTCACCCACCCTCTCCATAGGAATGTGGAATTCCCACCACTGATTTAGGGCTATAAACGGAATATGATTGCCTCCCGGTGCTCTTTTGAACGAGAAAACTGTTTTATTATTTTTATGTTGCACAAGTGATTGACGCTGTGCCATTGGGATCATGTGACGGAATGGAGGAGCTCTTGCGGAAATCTCAGAGAGAGAGAGTAGTGCAGTGGCCACCAGTGTGCAGGGGAGTAGTGCAGTGGCTACCAGTGTGAAGGAGAGTGCAGGAGGACACCTGCACAAGAGACGTTTCACGTGGCGGTTTTCAGTGAGGTTTAGTTATTTCCACAGTGCTGCAATGTAGCCATGTGACAAGATTTCAATTAAACATTGTTATTTTTCATTCGTCTTCTTAACAGTTTCGATCGCAACACAAGCAATCGTCATCAGGAGACGTTGATGATCGCTTGTGTTGCGATCGAAACGTCGTAGTTTTTTGTTATTTTTGTTATTTTCTTTGATCCTATCTATGTGACTTTACTGAAAAACCCAAGAATGTGAATTTCTGCAGTCACGAAAGCTTTAAGTCAATGTATATTTGTTGTTTAACTTGTGTGTTCTTAACTCTATGTAAATGTTAATTTAATTGTTTTTGTGGTAAGTTAAGAAAAGTCTGTGCTGTCCAGTTGCCTTGGTGAAAAATGAGCAGCATCTCTGCTCAACCCTGGCCCAGCCGGCTCAACACTCGACACAAAAATGAAATGAAGTGCAAAAATCGGTACAGAAAAGAAATGCAAGCTTCTTCGATTCGTCCTTAGCCACAATAGTAACACAGCCGACCCATGACAGGTCAGATCAGATTGTTGTGGCAAGCATATTGATGGTTTTAGTGTGGCCAAGAATAACATCATTAAATATAATGGGAGTGACAGGGGAAGTGTCAGCTCTTACATGATATTACCATCAACTGGGTTTTTATATTTGTTGAACGTGAGCAGGTTTTTGTCAGAGCAATCAAGAGCCGTTTTCAAACCAGCGGTCATTCATGGCGAATTATCTGCATGTTGGGCAGATAAATGTTTATTTCTTTGGGCTCGTTTTTTTTTAACAAGTATGACGCACGAAGTTAACGGTCGTTTTGCAAAGGAGTGGATCGTGTGCTGCGAGCAAAAATGTTGATGAAGCCGGGGCAGTGCGTTCGCTGCTCATCCTCGCAGAGGTTCGCGGTTTGAATCCGGGAGGCCACCCTGGTTAATGCTGTGGGTGTAATGAACTGTAGATGTGCACCTGTCTGCTTCCCAGTGGACGTTTAAAATATCCCGTGATGTTATTCAAAAAAAGAGTGTGTGCTTTGTTCGGTATTATTTTTGCACAGTTAGAACCCATTGGGCAATAAAAGCTCATTTTGAATGGGAGCCCAGTTACAAAATAGAAAACCTGGTTGCAGCAACCACAACAATTACACGAACAAAAATCCAATAACAACTGTACGTGGCCAAGTTCCAAATGGCAAGGTCGTGCATCAACATGGTACAACCAGCAGACAAAAATGCAAGGCTCGTAGAATGCATCACATACACAAAACATTTGTAACTTAAAGTCTACAAAGCAGGGCGGTCATTTGTACATATGACGAGGATGGCGAGGTGTTTATCCCAACCATTTTCGCTTGGTTATTCCAGAGATTATCGACCGCCACACGGATGGATTTTAAACCGACTTTGGTGCTCCCGGAGTGGGAGACTTCCAGCAGGAACAGGGTGGAGGAGCTTCTCACATCATGGGAATTTACTCAGGGAGGAATACATTATCCAGATGATATTTTGCAGACTTGTGTTGTAAACCATTGAGGATGAATATAATGCCATGACGTTCCCTGCTTAGATCGAGGGGTGGCCGTTTGCTGGCGTTATGGTTTAAAGTTCCCAAATTTGAAAAAAAATCTGCAAATTACTCAATTGGGATTACACATAGAGGCATTGCTCCCTACTTGTGAAAGTACTGCACACTGGGAAACACCGCGCCTGTGTTCCCGATGATGGCCTTTGCGCTGTAAGAATGGCGTTAATACCAAATGTATTTAATTATTATATAAATGATCGAGTGAATTATTGAATGAGATTTCAAGGTCCATAATAAAGATGTTTTTGGGTTAGGTCGTGAAAGCGCCTCAATGTTAAACTGAGAGGTGTTCTCCGCACACAGGTCCAGAATGAAATCCGCAAGGCGTGGGCTCAGTGGAACCTGGCTCAGGACCTGGACAGGAGGAGCCGCAGGGGCTCGGGCCTGCTGGGCACGGGCGGAGGCCACAGGGCTGGGGCGTCGCGCCGGCGCCGGCCCTCATGGCCCTCCTCTGCGGGCGCTGGCGGCACGTCGCAACAGCAGCCCTCGACCCACGTGTGCAGCGAGGAGGGGGCCGCCACGGAGGACGCTGGGAAGGCGGCGGTGGCCGCCCCCGTTACCGTCGCCTTCTTTTCCAAGGACCCACAGCACCATCGCGGCCACCAGTGGCGATCCAAACACTCGCACGAGTCGGTCATTTGAGGCAGGATGAGGCCGGGGATCAAGGTATTTGTGTGTGTGTGTGCATCAGTGGCGTAGCTATCAAGTGTGCAGGAGGTGCAACTGAACTGTGGCCCTCTGACTGCTGGGGCCCAGGTGCCAGATTACTAAAATTTAGGAAATGGACAAGGGGCCCCATATCTTGCCTTGAATCTGCACCTATTCCAACCATGTCATGCCACTGCTGTGTGTGTATATGTGTAAGTTGAGTTATGTTATAGCTAACACATGTCCTGTGAACTGTCAGCAAGTTTTCGATGCTTCATGTGACCACAGAGTGCACCTAGTCTGGCACAAGTACTTAAGTGACATCACCATCACCACTTAGTGGTGAATGGCAACTGTTGTTATAGTACGTTGGTATTTGCATATATGTTTGTGTTTTACTATTGACAAAAGTGCTTTTTGGGAGGGAAAGAGAAACCACACACAACGTTTTTCAGCATCGACTTCTCTGCATCCGATCTTGCTCAGAGACCAGGGTTGGTGGACCATGTGATGATGAGCACATGTTGGTGATCCGAGAAGCCTGATGGAACCATAGAGAGTTTTCACTGCGCAGCTGTTGAGAGAACCAATGAGATGAACCGCTATTGAGGAAGAGAATCTCTGAGTGAAACGACGACTTACAACTCTCAGATCGTTTTTCTGCAGCGGCCCGTCGAAGTGTTTCCGCTGTGGACGTCGTCACACCAAGTCGCCACATACTCGAGTGGGATTTCCAACAACGGTGGATCTGACATTGAAGTAAAACTCATGGGATCTCTGCTGAAAACACACAACCTAGGTGAATAATTTATGGTGCATTTTTTAAATAAACACTCTCAACGTTATTTATTTGGAATTAACATTTATTTTTATAATTTGAAAAATGTGTCAAACAATGTTTAATGTTCCACCGATACCATTTAAAATTATACCTGACTGCATTGTAACATGGTATGTAATGTGTATTAGCTCCTGTTAAGCTCGCGCGTTATTTATTTTAGCGTTTTGTCGCGCCGCGGTGATGTGTGGGACAATGGCAGCTCCGCGCTTCCTGGGGCGCTGCGAGCCCTCTCCCGCCTCGCTAGCTGGCCGCTTCTCTCCCTGTCGCCTTTCATCACCGTCCCACAAAGATTCCCGACTGCGAGCGGACAGAGAACGTCCATTTATTAAACTGCCTATTTCATCCGTAATAAATGTTTTTTTGGGTTAGATCGTGTAAATATAAATGTGTCGTTAAACCCGCCACCACCCGACACAGCCAATGAGTAATGTTTGTCACGTCAACAAAACGTGCCAATTCGTGACGAGCTCAGCGCACCGGTGTGTTGGAGCGTAAACTCACACCATTTACAATTCGATTATGACATTTGGCTGGTGATTACAACCAGCTTCATCAGGCAATAGCCAGAATTGTGAAGACAGTCCTATTTATATCTACGCAATTTAACCCGAAAAAAGCCTTTGTTATGAATAATATTGGTCGCGAAAGCCTACGTGTCAAACTGCCTATGTCATCATCAGCATCGTGATGATCAGCAGTGATCTACCAACTGCTGGATGAAGTCATTTACCAAGCCGTCGTCGTCTTTCACGAATCTGAGATTTACCAATCCGGCGAGCACCTGCGGCGAAAGCCGATTTCATCACTCCATCTCCTTGGAGGATGTCCTCTCCGGCCCCTTCCCTCATCTGGCTGCTACTTCATAGTCGGTCTCGACCACTGGCACGCATCCCATCTCTGGATGTGCCCTACACAAGTGTATTTTTCTGAAAAGTCAATATGTTATCCAGTGCGTGTGTTCCTCTCACTGTGTATGTCACTCCAAGCATGCACCTCTGTGCTTTTTTGCACACTTTTCAGCCCCCCGCCCCACGCCATCCTAAGAACTTTCTTCTTTAGGCGCATTGGCACGCTAAGTTTTTATATGAAGCTCACTTTTACAAAAGCATTGCAACCTGCTCTCGTTCGTCTCGTTATGTCTTGATTTCGATTTGCTGACATTCTCTGCTCGCCACAGATTTTGCTGTATGTTGAACTTGTTTCACTCCGTACGTAGCCAAACCGTGCTATTTTCCAGTTGTGTGCCTCTGACATGTCCACTAGTTAAGTGAACTTGTCGTTGTTGTACGTGACGTTGCTATTGCTCATGTTTATTCTGGGTACAATTTAGCAGCCGCCTTTGTTAATTAATTATTTAATTCCCTGTAGTTCATTTCCATTAGTTGTTGTAAGGACTGTTAGTAGCAAATCTGAACAGGGTAAAGCATGTTTTTTTTCCATCTAATTAAATGCCTTTATTTCTCCAATGCAGACTTTCAGAAACGTCTAACGTTGCTGTGAATTAAATTTATAAATTGTTTTAATATATTGAAAACGTTCTTAATATATGCCTTGCTTTATGAGTGGTTGAATGACAATTGCATAAATTTCCACTGCCTTTTAATCGTGAGTCCTGGCCAGGCACCGTAATGTTTGATCTTGAGTGGTCTTTTCCACAATCTACTTGTAAGTACGTAGGCGCTCGACGGTAGAAAAATATTTTCAAACCCAACTTGCTTACGTGATTGGTCGGTGTGTACACGCTCTTTTATTGTGATCTGAATGGTCTTAACGAACAATGTCTGTACATGTGATAAGTTATTTATATGTATGCCTATTTATGTATTTACGTGATTGTGATGGTTGGTCTTGCTTATCGCTTCCAATATGGGAGACTTTGAGGAGGCAGTCGCAGTCGGGACTAAGCCCAGTCTTTCGAGATGTTTATTTCTCCCTCGGCCCTCTCACCAATACAATAAACTGTCTAAATAAAATCACAAGTGAATGTGAATGCACGTCTGGTGTGAATCTGTAACTCGCAATAACGGTGTCAACTACGCAGTTCGCAAGGGCAATGGTCTCGGCACGAATATTTGAGTTTGTACAGGGTAATAGCAATGGAGGCATCGAGACGAAGGGTATATCGCTTGTCTACAACAACCGTCAGAGGCAGTCATGGAAATCTGTGTTTGGAGAATGTAATTTCAATACAGGAGCGATGATTTGCCAAGCATCTGTAGTCGGGCACATCACAGTTTAATGATTTTGCTTTTGTTTAACGGCTTGCTCTGACTCATTCTCAGGATCTAGGCAACCTTAACGAGGTGGTAGGGTTGGCTGTAGGACTGGTCGCAGATCACAGGCGAGTGAGTAGGTTCGCAGGAACTCTGGGTATCTCCAGACAATGACCAGGCAGCACTGTCCAGGTAACTCATGACACGGAAGCAAGCGTTTAGAGCATTTGGCTGCTGTACAATGTCCGCATAATAAGCCACTTCGTTGAACTATCATTTGTGGCCAGATCGCTTTTGAAAAAGAGCTACATAGCTCGGTGGGCCTTCTTACCTGGTAAAATAAAACATAGTTTAAATAGTATAATTTACTATCCAGGTATCCCCAGACACTGCCAAGGCAACACTGTTCAGGTAACTCCAGGTAGAACCAGACTGACGAGGTGTTCCAGGCAAGAGTGAGGGCTGTACACGAGTCACAGACCTCAACGTATTAAGAAACAAAATATTGACACTGGAGGAATCCCATGAGCCATAAAGTTGTTTTGCTGATGTCCGGTAGGGGCGGGTTAGAACGTTACGACAACAACAAACAATACCACAAAGTCTGCAGCAGTGCTCCCCAAGTCGTCTGTGCTAATGACTCCAAGCTGTAGTCACAGTTTCCTCTCCACCCCGGTCTCTGGAGTTCTCCAGGTGGTTGACAGCATCCTCTGGTGAAGCTGGGGGTTGGCAGATGGCGTCTCCTCGAGATGGAGGCCGCCTCGTCGCCTCTACTGCTGGAAGAGGCGAATTCTCATCTCTTTGGCTGGAAGATCTCTTCTAAAACGCGGGTTCTCAGGCGACTCGTGTTGACCTGCCCACGTGCTGCCCATTGAAAGGGCCGTCTCGGGATCGTTTTCTATGGCCACTGCTTTGCCAGAAGTGGCTCTCACTCCGTGTACGTTCATCTCAGGGGCTGCCACGACCAGAGATGTAAGGGTAGGAGGATGCTGCCCCGATAACGTGTGGGTGTTGCTTATTCTTCAGAAGAAGAAGCAGTTGTCTGAATTACAATTTGAAACGAAAAGAACTGCAGGCTGGCCGTGATGGATTATAGTGGTGTTATGTCCCATTGTGATGGGGCTGGTGTTATATCTGATTTTGGTGGTGGTTATGATGGTAATGATGGCAGTGGGGATAGTGATGGGGTTGTGGCGATGATGGGAGTGGTGATCACGCTGCGGTTGATCACGCACCCGTTTTTCGTAACGCTGGTTGTGTAAAATGTCAATTGCTCTCAAAAAATCCCTGCCACCTATTGTATGTTTGACGACTGCCTTGACATACACTTTCACGGTTAAATGTGGCTGCGACAACAAACAATAACGCTTGCGTTAATTGATGGAATTATAATATACTAAACGAGCCCCTGATCTAATGCAGGCCGGTCGCGCTTTATTAACACAAAAACCCGGGGCATGAAACGAGAGGGGCGCCACTCCCCTTGTTCACGGAGCTGTCGTCGTGAATTGCAATGAGGCCTAATTTGTCTGTCACTCAGCATCGGTGATGCCCCCCACCAGGCAGACGCCCGTGAGTTTCACGACGCCGACGCCGCCGCCTCCTGCGCGCGACCGCGCTGACAGCCCTCGCCTCGCAAGGTCCATCGCGCTGCCGACGTTACAAAACGCCGCCGCAATAGCCACCGCCGAGATCTTAATTGTTGAATAGAACGTCTATTTGAAGTCATTAACGAAAAGAAACGTCGGCGTCCAATTTGCGATGGAAGGAAAATAAACGAGGAGCCAGGCGGAAGGCGGGAGGTGGTGGAGAGGAGGGGGCGACATTTTCTTGACGTCCCCAGACATCGTCTCCCCGAACCTTGACGATTGATAAACAACGTTTGTCTTGATATAAACATATAAATATTTAATCTCTCGTCTGTTTTTATCTCGCGTGCAGTTTCTCTTCGTTCTTGTTCGTGCAGTTCTGTTTGCTCGCTTTGCCTAACCCGCATACGAGCTGAGACGATTTGTGTACATCGTAAATCATCCGTTCACACGCAACATTCAACCCCCGAGAGTCGAGACGGACTCTCAATCGCTGCCCCTTTGCGGGGGCCCTTCTGGCAGCAGTGGCGCGAGCGAGGAATTTCAGGGCTGCGCATTTGTCTCGATCGGCGAGCACGGGAATTGGGTTTAGTCGCTGAATCTGTGCGTCGTGGCCCGCCTGCTCGGGGCACCTCGACACGCGAATTGCTCAGCCGATTCCGTCCTTCACGCGCACTCTGCTCAAACTTCACTCCGTCACCGCCACGCCAACCACCGCCACCATCACCATCATTATCAGACTCCGTACACAATGTGACCACTCGCTCCCTGCGCCGTCGAGACCGACGTTGCGTGTGCGGCGCAGAGATGAGGAGGACACACGCTCGAAGGGAAGCGTCATCATCTTGCGGCATCGTGACACAAACACCACGGGGGGTTCACGTGTTTGCGAATCGAGCTGCAGGATTGCTCTTCGTGTTGTCGAGGATGACGGCGGGAGCCGCACGTGGAGTGGCGTCCTCTGTGACAGCGCAGAGCTCGGCGTCTGTCCGCTCAACCAAAGCGAACAAAGTAGCTGAGTGATGCTGCAAGCGGATCGAGTTTAACTCGGAGCTGTTGTTCGGATCTTACAATCATCTCCTACAAGCACGCATTGCTGCACAAGTCACTCCTGACTTGAGGGGCAAACGAAGCATTGTATTATCGATTCACATTGACGATTCCGCACGGTGGCAGCGCACAGCTGGAGTTGGTCTCGTGGGTTGACACTGGGACACGACAACACATCCCTTGGGCTTGGGGGTTTCAATCTTAGCCTATGGAGCATATTTTAATACAAGTATAATATTGTCCTTTTATTTCCCTTATCATCATCTTATCCTCTGAGTTTTGGTAGTCTCTTGTAGCGGTAGGTTTCGTAGGCTACATGGTTATCAGTGTGGCAACATAGGTCAAGGCGCATGGTTCACATTTGTCAAATTTGAAAAAAAAATACTCACCCATAAATTACGCAATTAGAATTCTTCATCACCCCCTACTGCGAAAATTTTACAGGGCTCTCCTGAAAATATTCGTGAGATTTTACTGGGCGAACGTGCAGAGTAATAATACACTGCTATATTAATTGGTGAAGCTGGATTAGGTGGGGTGGTAATTGTCAACGGGCGACTTTCGTTATACCCGCTCTAGGAATGCAGCTTGCAGCTGAGACGCAGTAGGAACCGGTCTTGAAACCGGTTGTGAGAGGAGGGGGGGGGGTGATCAGCAAAGACAATCACCGATACTGATTGGCCTGGAGGGGGTTACATGCAATGGGAGCACAGGTGAAATCATTGAGGTGGGGTGGAAGGGAGATGATCAAGACACCACTCCATTGGTTGAATGATTTTGGCTCTGCAGCATAAATAGACCCGACCCTACATGGATGAGCGAACACATTTTTGGTAGTTATAAATATTCATAGCAACCAGTAGTAGCGGCAAGAGCCGGGGCTGATTGTAGATTGAGATTCCAGGATCCGCGGGCGAAGGTGGGGGGGAGAAACTGAAAATGGAACTGCAACGCCTGAAGCGGACTTCGGTGAGGCCGCGTGGGCAATTGTTGGGCAGTAACCGGCGAGGCGCGACGTTGACTACGTCGCCTGGTAGAGGCAGGAGGTCGTGGGTTCGATCCCGACACTGACGCCTGCTGTATAATTGCAGTTTGCATCTTCCCGTGGTCGCGTGGATGTTCCTCCGGGTCCTCCAGTTTCCCTACATTTTAGAAACACGTGTTTTAGGCGATTTGGCTGCTATAGATTTCCGCGTGATAAGCCACTTAGTTGAGCTATCATTTGGGACCAAGTCGCGTTTGAGAAAGAGCTACATAGCTCAGTTGGTCTTGCCTGGTAAAATAAGTGTCCGTTTTTAGTATGTTTCAGCAAGTTCATTTTCTCGATGACTTGGAGTGGCCTTCATCTCGCAGCGGATGGACAAAAATACTTGAACGTGGCTTGTATAAAATTGGTTCACGCAGCCCCTGCTGCCACTACATGCTGCCACAATCACAACGATGGTGGAGGGGGGTAAAGAATTGGTTTCCGAATCAAATTGTAACCCCCAAATTTGTGACAATTCATGAAATCCACAGGGGAGGGAAGTGTTTGCTGCCTGTTGACATCAGCTGAGAGCGCTCCTATCGTGTCATTGTGGGCGGCACACTGTACTTGCAATCAGAGGTTGTCGGTTCGATTACATTTTCCGGTATGGCAGTTTAAACAATTGGTCAAGCTCCTTCCATCTCTTCCCACCCATCCCACCTCTGTTCGCCCAGCAGTATAAGTGTGTCTACTCAGTTGGGTCATTCGGTAGGTCCTATGTGGTGGGGCAAGGCCGTAGCCATGGAGTCGGCATTGGGGGGGGACCAAATCTTCCAGGGGTCTGGGGGTCCCCCCTAGAAAAAAAAATTCTAAATTTGAAAACTAATTTCCTGCCTAAAATATTAAAAAAATTAACTTACACACAGGATGTTTTACAATAATGTCCCATAGTGTATTGTATTACATTGCTCTGCCCCCCCCCCACCCAATATATATTATAATTACGACCTTGTGGTGGGGTAAAGTGTGGGTACGCCCATCTCTTCCAAGATGTCTCGTCAATGTGAATAAATCTAGCAAATGTCCTGTCGAATTCGCATGCGTCGAGCCTTTTCTGCTCGCAGTGGCGT